ATGCATAGTAGAATAATAGAAAGTGTGGCAGGCCAAAGATCCAAAAGAAAAGATGGCTGCAGGCCTGACAGTAAATTCTATGCAAGGCCTATATATATGTTTTTCTTCTGAGCTTGTGAACGCTTGTGGGAAAATATACTCTATCCCAATATTATGAGCAGTATAGACTCATACTTTATAATAACTTTTTAACATAACTTGGCAGCATTGACGCTGTTTTGAAGCTCATAGTCTTCTTTTAATGGACATGAAGGAACTACAGGAACATATAGGATTGCCTCTTGATGCCCCACACCTGAATGAGAAGGATGCCAATTCGGTCACACATATATTAAGGGACAGGAAAATGTAAATTAACAGAGTTGCTAATATCCTTGACAGTGAGCCCCCCCCCCCCCTTCATGCTCAAGGACTCTTGCAGTCCTTTTATGGCTCCATAATTGTTGGGATGTTGAAGCTGGGAGGAAAAGCCTGTGAGATCTTCAGTGGTCCTCTGTCTCTGTCACTGATTAACAGATGCAGGATAGATACCAAGGTCAACCATGGGAGAATAGCCTGAAGTCAAATAGAAATGCTTAACTAGAAGGTCCCTTTTAGATAGTTTAAGAGCTCTAAAAAAGCAGCACTAAAACTTACTTTTATCAAATTTTGTTCAAAATTTAGGTCCAAATTACTGAATGCTTAGATAGTAAGAAATTTAAATAAACCAAAATACAAAATCTTTCAACCATTTGTTCCCCTCCAGCTTTTGATCAGACAAGAGAGTCAATGAATGAGAAAAGGTTCTTCACTTCTACTATGACATCTCAGGCTACGGAAGAGACTGATGACAATACTGTGAGTGGCTGGAGTGTCCCCGAAGAGATCCAACAAATACTGTACGGCACATCGAATGTACATTTCAAGAAGGTGAGGATGGCAAAAATAGAACAAATCAGGAGATAGCTCTGAAATAGTTCCTTGTTTGCTTCTTCATTTTATTTGGTATTTATATCTCTCGTGGGAGAAGGATCAGAGTCTCATTGTTTACAGTGCTTTTTCATATTGATCCCAAATCTACTTTTGGAATTGATAAATTCTTGTGACTCTTTTCTACTCCAAAAAATATAGGACTGTGGTCTCAGAGTTTTTTTTAAAAAGGGTGTTTGTGTGTCACACAAATGGACTATTTTTTGCTCATTTTGGGGGCGGCCCACCCCCGAGGAGCACTCTGCAAGCCTCCTAAAGGCTATTCATGCCCTTTGGGGGGGGAATGGGCCCCTTTTCACGAAAAACAGACCGTTTTTAGGAGATCTGCAGAGTACAAAAATGTTTTTTTTTTATTTGCCTCTTCAAAACCTTGATGCATCTTATACTCCCAAAAATACAGTATATACTTTCGTATTAGGTGGTCTAATTTTAACCCAAGCGGGAAAAGACTTTTTTGGCCTTGAAAAGGTCTCTTGACTGGTCTATTTCTTATCTCCATCATGCTTCTCTTTTTCTCTCCAGGAATCACTTCCAGAAGATGCTTGCTCCATTGCCAGTCTTAATAATATTGACAGTATGAGTGAAAGTACCAGCAGCATCCTTAGCAAGCTGGATTGGAATGCCATAGAGGCTATGGTAGCAAATGTGGAGGAGAAGTAAAAACTTATCTTGCCTGTTCTAGTCTTTAAAAGGACATTAAATGGAATATGTAAAT